AGAGTGCAGGTGTTTCCGAAATATGTTAATGAGTCCACCAAAAATGGCCAATTTGTATGAAAAATACCTAGTGGTTCCAAACTTTTGCACGGTAGTGTATATAATCTATATTTGTTTTATCGTTTTCTTTTACATTTTACATTGCATAACTAAACTGAAATAAAAAAAACAACATCAAAATAACACTTTCAAATTTAATCGCGAGATCTTATCTCGCCATCTATCTACAAATTCCTGATCCGATACAAAAAAGAACAATAATCATTTGATTCTTGCTAATAATAAAAATTAGACTGCATATAAAACCGAATATGATTTATTTTTATACATTCTTAAAGCGATTATGCTACGATTACGAGCAATTCGGACGTGTTTCCGCTTTTTTCAATCCACAATTGTCTCCGAAATGATGACAAATTTCGAAAAGTAAATTTAGGCTGATAAACGGAACAGTCCACTTGTCGATTAATTACCAACAACTAAACAACTAACGACAGTCTGTTTCGACCGGCTGAAGTATGTTGTTTTGTGATAACTTGTGGAGTGCAAATGTCACATGCAACTGATAAGACATCTCGAAAAAAAAAACTCATCGAAAACTGTTCAGTCACACTCGCTATTCAAATAAATAAGTGAGTTTGCCAAAAAAAATTCAATAAATATCAAACTTGCTTGCTGTGCAAACAACGTTTCGTTTGAAGTTTAAAATAAAATTTTACGAAAAAAATGGGTTTTCGATTGCTAGTTTTAGGTTTTTTCTTATTAACAGTTTCGTTAAATGTATGTACATGTGCGTCGTCGACAATAATTTCAGCAGATACTAACGATACATTGATATTCGCAAGTGTGATCTATCGCCATGGTGATCGGAACATTAATCGAATGTATCCAAACGATCCGTACAAAGACGAAATACACTGGCCTGATGGTGGGATTGGACAATTGACAAAAGTATATTTATATAAAGCATCATTTTCAGCTCGTTTCCGTGTTTATAACGTCATTTGATTAAATTTATTGTATTTTGAAGGAAGGAAAGAGGCAACAATATCGGCTTGGGCAGTATTTTCGATATAAATACGGGAAACTACTTGGCGATAAGTACTCAGCAAACAAAGTATACATTCAATCGACTGATACCGACCGAACAATCATGTCCGCTTTAGCAAACTTGGCTGCGGTCTTTCCACCCACCGCAGAGGAAGTATGGAATGAAGATATAAAAAATTGGCAACCCATCCCAGTTCATACAGTACCCAAAAGTCTAGACAATGTTTTATCGGCTTCAAAAAACTGTCCGAAGTACAAAGTTGCATATGAGCAGTATCTCAAAGATTCACCGGAAGTGCAAAGAATTGAGAGCGAATACGCGGATCTCTTCTCGCATTGGACAGAAATGTGCGGCGCAAATATCACAACAATCACCGATGTTTATTGGTTGTATAACACCCTTCAAATCGAACAAGATCACAACAAAACATTGGCGCATTGGGCGGAAGAAGCCATCAAACCAAATGGCACAATGGAATATATTGCGACATTCGATTTCAAAACATACACGGACACACCATTATTGGCACGACTCAAATCTGGTTTCTTACTCAACGAAATTCTCGAACATTTTGCACAAAAAATGAACTCAACGCTACAGCCAAGCCGAAATATATGGTTGTACTCCGCACACGACATTACAATTACAAATATGTTGAACAGTTTGTCATTATATGAGGTATTTTTTGATAGTGTAAAAAATGTAGCATTTTTAAAGGCCTTGAATAATTCATTTATTCCCTCATTTATTGCTTTCCAGTTGCACATTCCACCGTATGCGTCAAGTTTACACTTTGAATTGTACAAATCCAGCGACGATGAACATTACATTCAGATCTTTTATCGCAAATCGGACGAAGACGAGCTCTCGCCTATGAATATACCCAATTGTGGAGAAAAGTGCACATTAGATCGATTCTATGCAATATATAACGATATCATTCCAGGCGATTTCGATGTGGAATGTAGCTTATCTTAGTTAAAAGCCACGGAAACGTTACGATTAATCAAATCTTATCTCAACGTGTGACCAAACCGATTAGTTTTATCATCCCATATGCAACGTTCGATTTGGATGGATTAAAAGCTGTTATGTAAACCATACGTCATCATAATCAAATCTCAAGACACTTGTAATCTTTTTCCTACGCAATACATTACCATCATATAAATGCGAATAAAAATAAATCAAGTAGCCAAGACGGAATTGTTGTTCAAATTTATAGTTGACTTTTATTTGCGTTTTTAATCATCTTTTCATCAACGCTGTCGACCTGCTCTGAAAAGTAAACGATCGTCATCTCAGACATGTAAAAAAGACTTAACTTACACATGTAGGAGCGCACGACAGTTGACACATTTATTGTATCTTTGTTTGTAATTGTAGATAAAAACGCAGTTTTATTGCAATACTGCTTCGTTTTATTTGCATGTGAAAGTCTTAGAGTGAACTTCGGCAATGAAAATGTTTTAAATTGTTCGTTATCTAAAAGAGTGTATTAGCAGCCAGTTTGTGTGTGACAATTCAGTGAAGGTGACACTTTTTTTCGTAGTAGCTCTTGGACAATTCAAATTCAATATTGAACATTATGCGCCAGGTGTATATGGTTTTGGTTTTATTGTTTATTCACGGCACGTTTTCGAGTAGTAGTCAAATCAGTGAAGGCGAAGCAGTTGAAAATGATCAATTATTGTTTGCACACGTTGTAAGTCAAATTGACTGACCACATCATCGTTGATTTTTGAAATGTTGTGAAAATCAATGAAAATTTAATTTTAACATTGTTGCAAATCATTTTAAGATTTTTCGACATGGTGATAGATCGCCTCTTAAACCATACCCAAATGACCCATACAAAGGTGTTGAATTTTTTCCCGGCGGATTTGGTCAAGGTACATAAAATTATTCCAATGAAACATTTTGGCCTAATGGATACGGTGTAATTCCTCGATATTATTTCTACCTTTTTCTTATTGCAGTTACTAAAGTGAGTTTTATATGCGAAGACACATTTTTTCCGCATGAAATCTGAAATTTCGTTACAATATCTACATTTTCAATTGCATTACAAAAGAGAGGATTGCAACGGCATTTGGAATTAGGCAAATATTTGCGAAAGAGATACTATGAGCTTCTGGGTGACGGCAAATATGCACCAGATAAAGTGTACGTTCGATCGTCGGATTACGATAGAACAATTATGAGCGCTGCAGCTAACTTACTGGGCTTCTTCCCGACTGAAAGTGATCAAATATGGACGGAAGAGCTTCCGTCAATTGGTCGCCCAATACCCATTCACACAGTTCCCATAAAATTCGATCATATTGTGGCGTTGGAAAGACCGTGCGCACTATACGACAAAGCATTTGAAGATAGACTCAATTCAAATGAATTCAAAGAGGCTAAACGAAAGGTAGATCGATATTTCAAAATTATGATGGAACATTCCGGGTATAAAAATGCTACGATTGGTGACGCGTACTCGGTTTGGGATACGCTCAAAGTGCATCGGTCGGAAAATTTAAGGTGAGTTTTAGGTTGATATCTTGTTGAAATCGTATTTTCATTGAAATAAATGATTTTGTAGACTACCATCATGGGTGGGCGATATGTTGGAGCCTGGGAGTGACATGGATAATTTCTTTGTGGATGGTTTTAAGATGCTTTCAAATACAACTGAAATGAAGAAATTGAAAAGTGGGTTTTTGATCAAGGAAATGTTGGAGCGTTTCATACAGAAAACTCAGTCAAAACTAAAGCCAGACCGCTTTACCATTCAAATTTACTCAGCTCACGATATTACCATATCGAATTTTCTAAACAGCCTTGGTCTTTTTGATGTAATTGGTTATCATTTTTTAGCAAACTTCTGGGGGATTTTTTAGTAATCAGTTTCAATGTTTACAGTCTCATGTTCCACCGTACGCTTCGTGTTTGCTGTTCGAACTGTATAAATCCAGAGATAACTTTTACGTAAAACTCTTCTACAAAAACACAACAGCAGATAACCTACCTCCGTTAAACATACCTGGATGCGGCACAAAATGTCCAATCAATATGTTTTATCAGCTGTTTGACCATATCATACCTAAACAAGATTTTGAAAGCGAATGCAATTTATCGCTACCATCAATGCCTGTCAAAGAATCCGACGTCATGACATGGAAAGGTAGGTCGAAATTGTTTTACTGTCAAGCTAGATGAAGTAAGTGAATTGGTTTTCTCTTTCTAGAACTAATTGGGCCGATCATTTGTACATTTGTCGTATTTTTTTCGACGATATACGGTTGGCAATCAGATAGATTTTACGAAACCACATAAAACGTGTCAGAAAATCATTACATAAGGCTGAAACTAGAATGGAGTCATCCCGAATTTCTACATTGTAAAAAAAAAATATTTTCCCTTGAAACACTTTTTTTTTCATGATAATGTGCATTTGAAGCTCGAATAAAGCTAGCTAAAAATTATAGGGAAAATAACTTTAAAATCTGTTGATAAATAAATTTATATTTATGTGATTGGAATAAAAATGTCATCCACAAAGCAATAATGATGTGTTTTTACTGCAAAGACACGAAAAAAGTAAAATTATTCAAACTTTTTATCAGTATCCTTGCTTATTCGTCAATTTGGGTTTTTTCATTTCTATAGAGAAGTCAAGAAAAACTCTTCAAAGTCATGAATAAATAACTTAATTTTACAATTTCTTTTATCTTAAGCCTAGATACGAATATTTCAGTGACCCTGGGATGTGCGAAATCATGATTTCGTGAAAAAAAAATTTAAGCTTCTAATTATTCCTTGCTATATAAAGTGACTTTGATTGAAGTATGTTGAAATAGCAAGTGTCACTCGCCTAAAGTTGTGCAATTAAAATCTTCGTTTCGAATTGTTTATCTTTTTAGCGCGTGAACTAAGTGTATGAAATAATATCATCCAAAAGTGTGTATGTAAATAGCTTTGAAAATTCAATTCAAGAATTCAAGTAATAATATCGTCTCGTTCAAATAAAATGCTAGGGGGAGAACTCTCTTTTTTAACTGATAAATTAATTGATTTCTATCATTAATATCTTATAAAATCCACGGACTTTCAAATATTTGGCAAAATCGTAATCATTCAGTCATATCCATCATACAGGATATTTCAGATTTTACTGACTATTTTTAGTTTTTGAGACTATATTGAGTCACACAAATGAACGCATCGATAGTGCCCGCTCAATATATGTACGATGACTGTTTTGAATGTCCCTCGCCTAGATGGCTTCGTGTCGTTTTCCTTCGTCTATCAAGCGATCTTGTTGAAATTTACAACAGAATATGGTCAGTTTGAAAAAGCTATCAAAATAGATGTCAAAAGCCACTTCATTCGATACATATACTTGAAGTATCTGCCAAAATTATAAATGTGTGTTCATTTCTGTTTGAATGTAGAAGAAAATACATGAAATTTATTAATATCTCCAATTTGTATATGATCGTTCTCCCCCTAGGTAAAATGTATGCTCACATTTAGATACGGTTCTGCTATTCATATAAATACTTGTGAGTTTTGAAATCTCATCAAACTGTGTGTGAAACGGAAGTGAAGTGCACACAAACCGAGAAGTAAGAACGCAAAATTCACAGTATTGTTGGTTGTGTTTCGCGTGTGTAATTAAAACCGAAATGACAGTTTTAAATAAGTTGATTTTGGTTTTCTTATTGACAACATACATTCAGTCAACATTGTGTGATTTATCTTCCAAAACTTCAAATAAACCATCCAACGAGTCTTCTGAAGATGACGAATTAGTATTTGCTCAAATTGTATGTGAAATGAAAATATTTGTTGAAAGACGATAACTTTAATTTATAGTTTCATGCTAGATTTACAGACACGGAAACCGTTCCATTTTATACACATATCCCAATGACCCCTATAAAAATGAAAGTTTTTGGCCCGGTGGATACGGAATTATTACAAATGCCGGTAAGCGAAGACAATTTGAATTGGGGAAATATTTGCGCAGAAGATACGAACGGCTCATTGGTACTGAGTATACACCGAAAAATGTGTACATTCGAAGCTCTGATGTGGACAGAACGTTGATCAGCGCTCTATCGAACGCTGCCGGCATGTTCCCACCATCCGGCGAACAGATATGGAGAACTAATTTTCTATGGCAGCCAGTTCCTATACATACGATACCCTTAAAAGATGATTATTTGGTATATCAGGCGATCCCATGTCCGAAATTTGATGAATTGCGCGACCAATACATCACAGAATCACCCGAAGTGAAGGGACTGATGAGAAAACACCGTTCATTACTTGCAGAGCTAGAGAAACATTCGGGAATGAAAATACGAACGATACTAGATGCAGCCATCTTCAACGATCCGTTTGAAGTCGAACTAAACAGGGAATTGACATTACCAGACTGGGCCAACAAAATATTGAATACATCTAAAGAGACTTTGGAATATTTTGCAGCGGTTTATTTTCAAAGTGCTACTCGTACCACCGATGCGAAGAAAGCAATAGCCGGATTTTTAATACGCGAGATTTTCGATCGTTTCAAGAATAAAACACTTGCACTTCTGAACCCAGATAGTAAAATCCACATTTATTCAGCCCACGACAATACTATCACAAATACTTTGAACGCCCTCGACTTGTATGACGTAAGGCTTATGTTATTATAATCTGTTGACTGACTGTGTTCAGAATTTTTTACCTTGGAACAAATATATACGGTTGTTAAATCACTCATTTACATTTTAGATGCGAATTCCACCTTTGGCCGCTAGCGTGCATTTTGAGATGTATCGACGAGGAACGGAATATTACATACAGATTTTCTACAGGAAATTTGAATTTGAAGATGTTGCGCCAATAAATATTCCGAATTGCGGCACAAAGTGTCCGTTAGAAGATTTATACAGGCTGTACGCAGACATTTTGCCAACTGATTCGGAGAGTTATGAGTCATTGTGTAACATACCATGATTTTACGACGACAATCATATATATTTACATATATACATCACCGAAATTTATTCACCTCGAAGTTCACATTGTTTTTTCTACAATAGCAATAAAGCAATTCAGATTTCGAAATGTGTGTAAATTTATGCGTTTATTTGTTATTATAAAATGTTGAGTTTTTCAATACTATGTACTAAATCAAAGTTTAGTCAATCAACATGGACGATAAGCTGAATAATCACGATATATTTTTGTTCAAGGATCTTGTGAGAGTTTTGCGCAAAAGTATAAAGTTCATAATGCCATTATAGTAATAATAAGCAAAAAAAATTCAAGTTTCAACCTTTTCTATGGTTGCTAAATTATCTACATAGGTGAAGTTATTCTACAATATTATCCAACATCATATATATACCTTATGATGCAAACGATTACTTTTTCTTTTTGGTTAAATAAATGTGACTTAAATTTGTTATCGGCATCTCAATTGTCAATGCTAGTATTACGGCAACGGCACAAGAAATGGCCAAAACTAAGAAAAGTTCTTGTACCTGAAAATATGTGAAAATTTAATTTTCAATTCAATTGAAATTGAAACTGAGAGTTCAATTCATTTACCTGAGTGAAAACTGAGAAATACCAGACTACTTTACGATCAGCAAACATAACACTCATTACTGTTTGATGAATCAAGAATATGTTAAAGCTCAACCGTGATATTGGTTGCCAACTTGGTTGCGATAGAAACCAATTAATGATGCCTCCTTGGTCATTTAGGCATGCGAATATGATATAGCAAAGCGATAGTGACCACCAAACTCTTCCTTTCCATAGGAAATCGGCTGATCTGTCAACAACTGCGGACGTATATAAAAGCATCGTCAATACACCCGCGGATAAAGTCAATAGAAATATATTCAAATACTGAAACGATACCAATTGTGTAGTTATTGTAATGACGCTATTTCTATCGCTATTTTTTTTTTTAATTACCTTTGGTATTCGAATATGTTTTCTTGAACGCATTTCGAATAGTATGTAAGCAAAAATGACTCCAATCAACCATGTAGAAATGCGAGCTCGTACTGAATAATAGTTTTCCAAACCAAAACGTTCGCTATTCAATGCCAAAATGAAAAAATCAATCAAAATAATCGCAAATGAAAAACCCATGAATCTTTTTGGACAACGTTGCATAAGCATCACCATAAATGGTGTTATGAGATATAACTGCATATCTGTGGCCAGGTACCAAGATCCATGAACGCACTGAAATGGTTTAACATTAGTTGTAATGTGTGTGGATTGTGACACAATATTCCACGGAAATTTACCTCAATCAGATAATAATTACTGTAATACAATAATGTGTCCCATGGTGAATATTCACACGTTCTTCTTAATCCATCCATAATATTATTATATTCTGGGCCGTTTGCGCAGAATTGTAGTAAATACCTGTTGAAAAGTGCGATAACTGTCAACACTGGAGATAAGCGTAGAACACGTTGTAAGTATAGAAGAGGAATGTTGAGTCGACCATTTCTATAAACAAAGACGACAATTTTGGATTATTTTATATTGAAAAAGAAAAGAATCTCAAAATCATTTACTAACGTCGAGAGTACTTGAAACATTTTATTGGCCGCAAGCATAGCACTCAATACAAAAAATGTATCCACGCCAAAACGGCCAGCCAAAAAAAATTTTTCTAGTCGGTCACCAACAGTTACATGGTTGTTTCGGTTGGCCATTACCTTCGATGAGAAAGAATTAAAATGAACTGCTACTATCCACAATGCAGCAATCGCACGTATTCCATCTAAACATGACATGATGCTGGGTGACTGATCTGATTTGCATGCAAATAGATTTCGCCCGTTTGAATACGCTGAAAATGCCAGCAACAATGGGTTTTTGACTTCTAGAAAAACCACGACAATATTATTAATTCTAAAATTTGATTGATTTTTTATTGCAATGTTCGCACCATGCACCTACCTTTGCGTATAGTGAATATAATGTCATAAGTTGAACTCAAAATTATTAAACCAAATACCATAGTTAGAAATGCCCTTTTAAAAAAAATTCTTACGTTAGTTCGGTAAGTTGAAATCGTGAAGTGAAAATATGAAACGAAGAAAAAAAAATCTCTTGCACAATGCACAGCTCAGGCGAAAACAACAACTTACATAAAAATTTGGTAGCTTAAAAAAATAGTTGTGTTGTCATTTTTAAAGCGACAATCGTGTGCTCCAATATATATTTGAATCGATTTGTTTGAAACCAAGTAATCATCTAATATGTTCGCAATAAGTGATGGTGCACACGAATTCGGAATACAAATACCCACTGTTGACCGTTCAGATATGCTAGTAACGACGAACGAAAAAATTATAATATATTCTATGCAGTAATTTAAACAAAATATTAATCTTTTTTTATAATGAAAGAAACTCACATTTTTCTCACTTCGGACCTGCTAGCATCAATACGGCCCAGGCAGTATTGAGTTTCAATGTTTATTGACTTATTCATTTCTAAATCGTGGCATCGGTCAAAATTTCCATAATTTTTATCGATTCCAACCGGCGACAGCTTGCCCCATGTAGCCAACACTACATAACAATAAATGTTCACCAATAAATCAACAAGAAAAATAAGATTACGAAAAATTACTCACTTTCCGTAGCCCAATTGCTGTTTTTATCACGAAACGCTTTTTGAATTTGTATCAAATCTCTTATGCATTGTTCCGTGTCGTATGATCGTTTGACTTTGGTTCTGTCAGTGGTGAACACTTGGTTGTCGTTGATGGAATATGTTGATGAATCCAAAAATTCATCCAAATGTTTGTTTTGGATCAAACCAATTTGAATGGTATGAAGTTTTTGATATTGGGACCAATCATGCTCTTGTTCTTGTTCTTGTTCAGTTTCACATACAACCCGCCATTTACAAATTACAAACAACGTAACCCAAAACACCAATTTAACTCTAACCATTTAAAATGCAATAATTTACTCCGAATTTTTTACATATGTTTATTCTGTCAGAATTCTAAGACGGTACTGAATCATATTAATGCATCTTGCCAGAAATACAACTGGACAGACTCCGACTTGTGTGCTCAACATCTGGAACAAATAAAAAAATATTAAAGTAAACACTTTCTGAATATGATAGGCTTGAACAGTTGAATTAATATAGCCAACTTGTTTTTGCAACAAAAAAATTATGATTAACGCCCTTAATACAACCCGATAGAAAAAACGCCGAAAACGATCGAACAATTGATTTGATAAGATCAAATGTAACACTTTCAGTAAAAGGAATAAAAGGAATTGAGTCAATGAAGATGAGTATCATTCAGCATCCAGTTTTGAACCCGCTTGTGGCGGCATTGTCTGAAAACATATCAATATAGCATTGAATCATTAATTACTACTAACTCAAACAGTTTTTTTTCCACATATGCTTAAAAACACAAACAAAGTAACAGACTTCCAGCAGCGATTTTTTATAATGAGAAAATATCGAAAAGTCTAAGGGACACAACAGACTTATTTGCTGAGTATTTTTATAGTGTCTACACGAATACGTATTATATGTAGATCAGTTACATTAACCCTTTACCACGTGTTGGTTCTAAAAGTAACCAGATAGGGAAAAAACTAAATATTTTTGAACGCTTGTTCAGAAACAAATGTAGGAGATTGAACCAGCTTTCATTTGATACCTAACTCATTACAATTTGTCAGCTACCTACATAAAAAGTTTTTCGAGTTTATATCAAAATCAATCAAAAACAAAAGATTGCGCATTTTAAGGGTTAACGAATGACTATTTCGATATTAGTATTGGAAACACTAACGAAATAATAAATAAGATGGATGAAAAGAAACAGTCCAAATGCAATCCAGCCTTTTTATCCGAAAAAAAACGATCGAAAGTCTCTTAGTCTAAGTTTCATATCACCTATTAGTTGACAATATTAATGTAGAAAATGACCGTCCAATTAGTATTCTATCATCCGTTGCAAGAATATTCGATGAACTCATGTTTGATATATTCATCAAAAAGCATCTCATCTGCTTGTACCGAATCAGCATGGTTTTACAACAGTCGCTGTCACACGAAACAGTATGTACTGGTTTCTGCATTATGGCGGCGCCAAATCTCATAGAAATTCACCAGATGTTACCAAATGCCTTTGTCTCTTTCCTTTTAATTCTATGAGATTTGAGGTGGCAGCTATGCCGGACAGCTACTTATCACAGTTGAATCTAGATTTAGTTTGTGATTTTTCATTTGATTTTTTCCCATTATTGTTAACGCACTTTAATTGCAAAAACTCATCATTGTATTTCCCCTGGTTCTCCAGAATGAGGCCGGTTTTTCCATGGTTTTCCGGACCCAATTCTGGTATGAAAGTCTCACTTTTATATTATCCCTCCCTACTATATTCTCTTTGCAAAAGACGCATCGTGAGCGGAATTTATGCCGTATTGGGTCTCTGACCAGCATGTTCTCAGCTTGCTGTGAACACATATTGGCATAAGTGTGGGCTTCGTAATAAATAAATAAATATCTGCGAATAAATGAACAAATTTAGATTTTTTTCAGATACATTTTTTATAAGATGTCAATCAAGGCTGTTAAATACTATTTTTCTTTACTAATGAATGAATAAAGAAATGAAGAAGTTGACAGAATATGAAAAACTCAATGCAAATGTGCATAAATTCTAAAGCAGTTTGTTCGAATGAACGATTATTATGGGACGAAAATGAGCTAATGACAGCTTGCGTTGAAAAAACGTTCAACCGGTAATAATGATAAACTAAATTTGCACACTTAATTGCATGCAATTTGTAACAATAATTCGCATCAAAATTCCTCTTTTGTGCTCACGCATGCAATTTAAGATATGACGTTGATTAAAAACAATATGTTAGGTATTTGTCTCTTTATTAGTAACTTGAACACCGGATAAGGCTGCCACTGTATAATTTATCCAGTTAAACAGGAAAATTGCTTAAAAGCGCTACTGTGAAATGGGTGTTCAATAATTAATCAAACTCTAATTTCATATCGATAAAATAATATCAGTTTTTGAAAGAAGGTGGAAATTATAAAGTATAGTTTGTAGTTAAACGCTATATTTAAGCACAATTGAATCTTTTAATTGTTAATAATTAACATTTAATTCAACGAATTAACGTCTAAGTTGCCTAGTTTAGCAATTTAGCATCTTGAGTAGTTCATTATATGTTTTACAATTTGTTGTTTATTCTAGTAATGTAGATCACATACAGTTGTTGACACATTGCTGATTGATTGATCAGTCATATGTTTACGCGTAAGTATTGAACGTTTAACTACGTAAATTCATTTTCAATGAATACATTTTGCAAAAATAGAGCAATTTGTTTTGAACTGGTTCACAATTTAAAGCGCGGAAAAGTACACGCATTCTGATAAATCCAATTTCATTTTTAGCACTACATGGAATGTAGGCTACGGTAGTTGTTTTTTTTCCCCAAGAAAATTTTAAGAGTCTTTAGGTCATTTTTTTGGACCGTAAATTGATTCATTTTAATATCCATATTTTTTATTTGAAATGAAGCAATTACGCCCAAATGCAAAAATGAAATAAAATCATGTTCTTGTAATTCACTTTTGAGATAACTCAAAAAAAACAATTCTACACTTTTTTCGTTACCAATGTGAAATAATGTACGATGATCAATGATCATTCACATTGAATGTTCATAAAACACATAAGTGAAGAATACAAAATCATCATTTAAATTTATTTAATTATTTTTGACAATATTAAAATGATTTGCATACTACGATTAAAACTACATTCCATGTAGTGCTTACGATAATAATTTGACGAGAAACATCAAATTAATTAAACCCCTTAAATTTACAAGCTTCAATAACGACGATCTGCGGTCTTGTTTTTTTAATGTTCATGACACAATTATATTATGATCATAATGTGGCATCATATCTTTGACTCGTGCTTCAATTGCATGAAATTGCTATTGCATTCTCTGGCGTTTGAGATAGTTCGTCCAAATACTTTTCGAATGAATACTCGAGATAATTTTTTTTTATCCAATTACTTCCATAAAGCATGTGTCAAATGTATGATGAAATATAATAATCCATTAGGTGTATTCGAAATAAAAAGTTCACATTCATTCCACTTTTTCCCCCCAAACAACAAGATCAAGGAATCAGGAATAGTTATATAATAACAAAAAATACTGCTTAATCTTAGGTGTATGATGTACTTGCAAAATTTGTGTTAGATTACGGGCACAAACTCGTTTTATACGTTAATCACATGAATTTGAAGTGATTTCGCGCGAAAAAAAAACAATGAAAACACATATAAATGCTGCTAGTTCCGTGTAATGCGACAGTCTGAAAAATAGTGGTGGACGCGTTGTGGGTTAATATAGGAACAAAAGATATCGTCTAGACGACCATCTGGGAGCGGTGAATAAAAGTGTGTCTGCATTTTTATTTAACATGTCTGTTTTGACGATAATAGCTTTATTGACATTTTTCCAATCCATTCGGTCCCAAGAATTGATTTTTGCAAACACAGTGTGTCGTCATGGCGATCGCACCATATATCGGCAAGAAAATCATTTATTTTTCTGATCTATTGCATCATTTTATGATTCATTTATTGTGAAATATTTTAGGCCATACAAAACCGATCCATGGGGAGATGTAAATTTTTGGCCGGGTGGTTATGGACAATTGACAAACGTATGTGTTTGGATGCTGTTTTAAACAACCTGATATCTGCCTGAGCAAATAAAAAATATTATCCATATTGTGTCGTAGGTTGGAAAGCGTGATTGTTTTGAATTGGGCAAATTCTTTCGGAAACGTTATCGCGGTTTGCTTGGAGATGGTTCTTATTCGGCAAACAAAATCTATGTCGAATCAACGGTTATTATAAAATTGTTTACATAATAAATGCCGGAGCATAATATCCAACGATTTTCTTTTCATTAACAATAATCATAGGATTCCGACCGAGCCATAGCCTCGGCTTTAACAACGATGGCCGCCCTATTTCCACCGAAGGAAGATGCAAAATTTATTGAGGATTTCGATTGGCAGCCAGTACCCGGTTTGAACTCAGATCATATACGAATTTAAAAGTCGAACAAACTTATTATTCATATATATCTTTTTATAGTGCATACGTCCCCAGCTGGAAGCGATTACCTTTTAGCTACACAACGTTCATGTGATCGCTTTGATCTTGAAATGCAACAATTTTTAAGTGAAAGCTACTACAAAGGCTTATTTAAACAACATTGGAAACTAATAAGCTATTTGGAACGAAATTCCGGATCAAAGATAAACACTCTGATGGATGTGATGATTTTGTACGATGCACTTTATGTTGAACAATTGAAGGAACTATGGTAAATATCGATGTTTTTTACCGTGCATTTTGCCGATTTCTTTTTCCCGAATGGTACAAAGTTTCAGAGAATGTCCATTTCAAATCTATTTTAGTCTCCCAAAATGGGCCGAAAAAGTGATGATAAGCGGTGGAGATTTTGAATATCTGGCACTCTCCGTGTATCCAATCCATACCAGTACGACCGAAACAAAGAAGATCAAAGGGGGATATTTACTGAAATCGATTTTCGATCGGCTTACAAATAAAACTAAATCAACCCTGTCACCAGATCGCTCTATTCATGCGTCTTTTGCTCACGATATGACGATAGTTAATGTTTTAAATAGCCTCGGATTATATGAGGTTCATCAACCGCCATACTCGTCGTGTCTTTTATTCGAGTTATATAAACAAAATGACAGTCATTTTGTACAGCTTTTCTACAAAAAATCGGCAGAACCAAATGGAATTCAGGAATTGGAATTTCCTAGTTGTGGCTCCAAATGTACACTCGAAGACTTATACGAAATATACGGAGACATACTGCCAACACAACCTTTTGACCAAGAATGTGCACTGCGTTATGGAGAAGTTCTCTCACCGAATGGAAATCCTGAAAGTTATGACATTCGAAAAGTGCAGTTTTAGTTTGTAATGGCATACACAGTTAATGACGCATACTTCTTCATGTGATCTACTGTCATTTAGATTTATCGCACCTTTCGTTTCCGTTCCACAAATTGTAATGTTACTTTAAGACGAATGCCTTTAGATATTCGCTTCGAAAAAAGTAGTAATATTTTTTTAAAAATAGAGTAATTGCATATTTTATTTCTTTCCAGCCATTTAACAAGTTTGAAACGTTTTTGCTCCAGACTTCTTTAATCGTTTACGTGTCATTTGGTTTTTGCCATTTACATGAGTTTTGATTTCATTTCGAAGTCATTATTGTGGTAATAAATAATGAAAGTTACTTTTTTTCGTGTACAAACAATCTCCAAAAAGAGATAAAAACTCGTAAAAATGACATGAATTGCATGTAAATTACCACAGCGTAATGGTTTATGGATCTGAAAGCAGTAGACAGAATGAAATATGTGTATTTCATTTGCAAAGATGTCTGCTTCATGGAAACTCGTTCTTCTAATGTTCGCTCAGTTCGTTTTTTGTCATGAAGAAGATGTTGGTGACATTGGGATTTTGGAGGTCGATGGCCAGCTGATTTTTGCAAAAACAGTTAGTAGCAAAATGTTTTAATTGTTTTAGAATCAATGACGTTTGACAGCTACGCTGACAGTTGTGTTTTTTTTTCGTCTCTCGTCTTTGTTTACATTATTTTATCGTTTTTAAATAGTTATCCACATTGTTTTGTCACAAATTTTATATCATTCTATTCGTAAAGACTTGCTGTATCGTAATTTTATAAAGTTCATCCGTGTCAACATCAATTTCGGCTATTTTTTTCTGTGATAATTTGTGCACATTTTTGGTTACGTCGCTCTCGTTGTTCACGTCGTTTTCCTGTGTTATTGTTGTTGTTTTTCATAACCATAAAATGGCCCAATGTGCGTTGTGTGTGAAACCGGAAGCCAATGACAAAAGCATTTCATGCTATGGCTTATGCGGCAAATATTTTCATTTCGCGTGCCTAAATAAAAACGATTCCACCACTGTTTTCAATAAAACTCTGACAAACTTTTTGGCGAAAATTACCGGTTTACAGTGGTATTGTGTCAGTTATCAGCCACACTCTCTTAGTGGCATTGTAAACAATTTCACTGAGTGTTCAAATTTTATTGCGGACCTCAAACACTCGCTAGTGCCTCTCATCGACAAAGTGTTGTGCGCTGACCTACCGCAAAAAAGTGCCAGTAACCAAAATAAACAAAATGAGCAAAATATCGGTGCTGTTGAAGTGGTTGAAATTGATCAAAATACGTTGCTTCGATTTATTGACAATGCCAATGCCACCGTGCACACTGAAAATGCTGTGATTGACGAAAAGTCAGCGGAACCGATGGACGAGGATGAACAAAATGTTGACTTGGACATTACAGTCGTCCCAAATGCCGAATCGGGTGTTGCTACATCGAGTGCATATGTGGAAACTCCACGTCCGAACCAAGATCTCGTTAAGCGTAAAATTCGTCGCCCAATCAACGAAACGGTGAAACGAACGTGCCTCAAATCATCCGACGATCCAGGTATGTCGCGCGTTGATAACGCTGTTGATGAAACTGTCTCAACACCATCAGTTCATCAAAATGCAATGAATTTACGCAATTTGGTTCACGCTCCGGCTCGCAAACCGATTATGAAAAATGTCAAACGCGTTCAAGCCAGCAATTTACACGCCAAAGCGGTACCGTTACCACAGGTCAGCAATTTACATAAGAAAATTGTTCCGTCAGTTCCACTGCCATCTAATCTGACGAAGAGCGTTCACATCTCACGCTTCTCTAACGACACCACCTGTAATGATATTTTGAATCATTTGCGCTCCATTGATTCCACATCAAATATTGTCAATGAGATTCGATGCAAAAGATTGACACGTGGTGACCGGCCCATTTCAAGCTACAAATTCATCTCGTTCAAACTGACTTTTCCACGTCAATACTTTGAACGTGTTATTAACCCGTCGATATGGCCGAGCTCAATTAAGGCCTGTGAATTCGTTGACAAACCAAAACCTCCCTCGTCCATCAGTGCACCACATGTCAATTCAAACCGGCAGTCAAAAAACGGGATGCACCCAAATGGCAACATAAACAGAGTCAGAAACCATCTTCAGCCAATGTTCGCCTATGTACAGGCACTGACGACACCGAATGATGAACGCCCGTAGAGCGTTTCGAAATGCGCATTCACTTAAAGTAAGTACAATTGTGTATCATTTGTGCTACAACAGCAAAAACAATTAGGTGATTTTCAACAAAGAACCGTGTCCCGTTTTGTATGGGGTTTGGGCCATTGGCGTCTAGCAATGAGACCGGTGCCAATGGATAGGGGGCAGCGAGTATAACAATAATATATGGGTGACACGGCCCCAAGTTGTGGGCGGGGGGTTTTATTGGGATACAAAGTTAGTACTGGATTTGGGGTAGTTTTCGCTAAACATGGATTTTTCATGAATAAAGAGTCATTTTAGAAGGAAACTATGTATGGACGAAGTATTTATGCTGATGTCAAGAATCGATTGTCACTTTGGTTGGGGCTGCCCTTCAAGTCTGGGGTGCGTGGGAGGTAAAAATTGAAAAAAAATCAAAAATACCCTAATTTGGGGTTGAAATTCAATTTGCCGCCCAAAACTAATCACATATTTGGATTGCTCGCGAAAAGTTGACTATATGTCTCATACAACAAAAGCCTGATCCGATCACTCCAAAGACTGTAAATCGCCCTTCAAAGATTGACCCTATATCATTCATGCTCCAATATTTGGCCTTGTCTTTGAAGGGCGATTTACAGTCTTTGGAGTGATCGGATCAGGTTTTTGTTGTATGAGACATATAGTCAACTTTTCGCGAGCAATCCAAATATGTGATTAGTTTTGGGCGGTAAATTGAACTTCAACCCAAATTGGGGTATTTTTGATTTTTTTTCAATTTTTAACTCCCACGCACCCCAGACTTGAAGGGCAGCCCCAACCAAAGTGACAATCGATTCTTGACATCAGCATAAATACTTCGTCCATACATAGTTTCCTTCTAAAATGACTCTTTATTCATGAAAAATCCATGTTTAGCGAAAACTACCCCAAATCCAGTACTAACTTTGTATCCCAATAAAACCCCCCGCCCACAACTTAGGGCCGTGTCACCCATATATTATTGTTATACTCGCTGCCCCCTATCCATTGGTACCGGTCTCATTGCTAGACGCCATATGGCCCAAAACGGGACACAGTTCTTTAGATTTTGTGTTACAAAATAATATTCTTATCTTTGAAGTCAATTTTGAACTATTTACCATTTAGCATCAAATGATCTAGTTACGTTTCAAATCATGGTCAATGTCAACTCAATGCACTCTGCAATCAACATGGATCTGCCTTAACCGACGTAAAACTTCTCATCAATTTATCTATCGGTATAAATTGAGCGACGAATTTTGCAGTTTCAAAGTCTTAAATTTAACGCGTAACAGTTAACGCTTCACATAGCCTTTGTCCCTTTGGAAACGTTCACCAAAGGTTATCCTGGACCGTTTGCTATAGGCTACTATCAAGCATTTCCATCTTGGTTGTATGACTATTTTCGTTTTCATGTTCCTACTATTGTGCTTACCTCATAATTTACGAAAAGAGCCAGGTTTTTAACGAGACGAGAACTGAAAGTTATCGAAAGTTACTGCTACTATTGTTCATTATTTATAAAAATTGTAACAGTCTTGCACTCCTTTCCGGCCGAACCTCTAACAAAACCCACATTATATTCAGCCAGAGCTTGGCGGTGTTTAATAAAATAAAATAAAATTATATCTTTGAATTTTCGACAATTCGATCAATATCGGTGTGTCGACATGGTGACCGAAACTTACACACACCATTCCTCAATGATCCATGGAAAGACGAGTCTAACTGGCCCGATGGTTTCGGACAACTTACTTTTGTAAATTGAATAAAAAAAAATAAGAAAAACTGTTAATTTATTCATTCATTTCAGGTTGGATAACAAGAGCATTGTGAATTAGGTAAATTCTTTCGAAAACGATACGGCAGCTTACTCGGAGATGGTACATATTCGGCAGATAAAATTTACATTGGATCAACGGTTTGCATAATATACGTGAACAGTTTTGCCAAGAGATGCCGCGACGAAACCAACAATCCGCCCAAATGTGTTCGCGCTAAAATTATGTCTACATTCATTTGGCAACACACGAAGGTCAGAACAGTAGCAGCACCGTGAGAACGACGGTGGCCATGAACAACATTCACATTCAGTCATCCGTATTCAATTCAATTCAATTTTATTACACCGCCAAATACTGGCTGAATTAGGGAATTACATAGTAGGTTCGGTTACAATTTCAATAGGCAATAGGTCAGTAATGGTAGGTAAGTAATTTCAAACAATTTTAGGTAGTGTGTCAATAGTCAGTTAGGTTTTTACGGTGGCACATTCCAGAATGTGCTAAATAGCAAAAATAAAAATATAAATAAATAAATAAATAGAATTTTTTAAAATTTGAATGTAAAACTATGATAAAAATGTCCCTTCATATTTTGTATAGTAATTTAGTATTTGGTTTTCATTTCATCGTTTTGAAATCGTCGATAATTTTCGTTTTACATCTGTAACCACGAGCCGATGGCTGCATCCGAAAGTTGCAATAGTTTTTGACGGAACTGGAAATGTGGTAGCGTTGGGTCGATGAATAAGGCAGCACAATTAAACATCCAGCATGCATTGTTGAATGGTGATCGCAACGAATGATCTGTTCGATAGTGCTTGATTTTTATGAATTCGGGATTACGAAGCGTTCTTACACCATTGTTCAAATTCATTTGCGACAAGAGATTAGGTGTTTTATATTTGCCGATTATAATGGAGTGAATGAACAGGATGGCTGCGTTCAATCTTCGGCGCACTAGTGATTCAAGCTTCACGTTTTGACACCTTTCGGTGTATGGGCGGAGAACGTAGTTGCCTTCGATCCAACTTCGATAATCACCATTCAGGAGCATGACCATTTGCTTCTGGGTTCGCTCAACAAATTTCATGTGTGTAGTGTGATGTGGAGACCAAATTGGGCTGGCAAATTCCAGATTTGAGCGCACTAGTGCCGAGTACAAAATCCTAACGATATC